TCATGATGCTAATGTTTACTCATGATGCTAATATTTACTCATGATGCTAATGATGCTAATGTTTACTCATGATGCTAATGATGCTAATGTTTACTCATGATCCTAATGATGCTAATGTTTACTCATGATGCTAATTTTTACTCATGATGCTAATGTTTACTCATGATGCTAATATTTACTCATGATGCTAATGATGCTAATTTTTACTCATGATGCTAATGATGCTAATGTTTACTCATGATGCTAATGATGCTAATGTTTACTCATGATGCTAATGATGCTAATGTTTACTCATGATGCTAATGTTTACTCATGATTCTAATGTTTACTCATGATGCTAATGATGCCTCATGATTCTAATGTTTACTCATGATGCTAATGATTCTAATGTTTACTCATGATGCTAATGTTTACTCATGATTCTAATGTTTACTCATGATGCTAATGTTTACTCATGATTCTAATGTTTACTCATGATGCCAATGATGCTAATGTTTACTCATGATGCTAATGATCCTAATGTTTACTCATGATGCTAATGATCCTATTGTTTACTCATGATGCTAATGTTAACTCATGATGCTAATGCTACTCTCTGGCTCCTTAGGAGTAGAGGAGCCAAATGTTTGGCTCACTGCTGCAAGCTAGTGGTCAGAGGCTGAACTACGACATAAAAATGAACCATTGGCAGAAAAGTTGACATTTTAAACCTTAATTAAAAATCGATACAGTATCAGGAAATGAAATATCGCAATATTTCAGTGTATCAATATATGTTCTTCCACCCTTATCAGGTGTGGAGGAAGCTCAGAGTCAGAGCCTGCCTTTGAGTCGTCATGACAATGATGAAGGTAAACGGTCCAGAAAAACCCCCAGACTGAAACGAGACCTGGAGGATCCGGATTATGAGATTCCGTCAAGGTTTGYGTTGTGTTTTCTGAACCGTCTCTATTTCAAATGTTCAATCAGGTTTTAGTTTGTTTCASTGCAGATGTTTTCAAACTGGAACCAGGTTAAACGTTAATCTGAACAGGTTCATTTCATCCTGGTTTTATTTAAAATCAGTTTCCATGAAGGTCTCTAGAGGGTGCTGGTCTTCAGAGGACTTCCTGTTGGACCGCAGCCTGAAGGACCTCTGAGTCCACCTTCATCCTGACTTTGATTCAGTTTTTAAACTTGTTTTGTTTTGATAAACATCTGAGTGAATCTAGTGTCTGAACTGTGAGAGAGTCAGAACTGATCCACCTGGTCCTGCAGGTCCYGTCCTTCAGCCAGGAAGAGGCCCCGCAGTCTTCGGGTCAGTGACTTACAGAACCATCTGACTCTGAAGATCCGTTTACTGGAGGACTCTCAGGTCGAGGTTCTTTCTTCAGCCGGTACGTTTCAGTCAGAGACTGTTAGTAAAACAGCTGGTTTGTCACAAACTGAACAGGATCTMTGCTTCTGGTCCAGTGTTCAGGAAAAGTCCGGTCCGGGAGCTGACGTGTTCTCGAGGTCTGCAGGAGGCCGACTTCCTGAACATCCTGAGGTCCACCTTCCCTCAGCTGGCTAACGGCGAACCGTTTGACATCTTCATGACCGACCAGAGCAAGAAGCTGCGTCCTCTGAAGGTCAAGAGTCTGACTCCTGAGGAGATCCACTCCACCATCAGAGCCAGCGGGAACTCAGCGCTCTACATCCGCCTCAAGGTGGTTGGTCTCCATCCTAATCGGGTTTATTTAGATCCACGCAGCAGCTGAACAAACTGAGGTTTTCACTAAAGTAAAGCTGTAGCTCAGTCAAAATGACCAGGAAGCACCTAAACATAAATATTAGTCATCACCAGGGTTATTATAGTTAACTAAAACTTAACTAAATAATGAAAATTGAAATTGAAAAAACATTTTAGTTAACTGAAATAAATAAAAAGTGTGATAAAATGAAAAAAAAGATAACTAACTAAAACTAAATTATTGATAGAATATCCTTAGTTTTAGTGTTTGTCAATTTATTTTGAGCCACGTGGATATTTTTATTTAATTGTTTTAATTGAGTAGTTTAACATTAGCTGTGGTCTGTAACAATTGTTTACAGTCTGCTGCTGCTCAGCATCACCTGCTAAATGACAACAACAAAAGTTGGGAGAAAGCAGCAACGTCCACTTTGGGATTTCTTTGAATATGACTGCGAGAAAAATCAAATCAAGTGACTTATAGTGGAAACAGGTGATAAAACAGGTGGAATTCTTCTCAAGGGAAAAACTGCATGAATCAAACTCACACAAGATGCTAACTGTGACTACCTGACACGCTAGCTTTCCTCAGTAGCTCCATGAAAAACAAACAACAGGATGCACCAGGTTGGAGACAACTATTGTCATCGTCCTAAAATAATCACCCAAGTTCTTAGGTGGAAAGAATGAGTTAATTTATGAAGGAATAATTTACAATTGTTTTAGGAAGGTGTTGCTATAATCGACTGCTTCAACTAGCGACCAAACTCACAGGAACGTCACAATTTTGATGTATTGGCAAATAAACTATATAAAAAAACTAATACTAGAACTAATAAAACCCAAACTAAGCATTTAAAAAACAATAATAACTAATAACAACCAGCAAATCCACTGTAAAAACAAATTCAAACAAACTGAGTTGAAAGAAAATAAAGTCACAACGAAATAAAACTAAACTATAATGAAAAATCCCTAAACTATTATAACCTTGGTCATAACTCGAGACAGGAAGGTGCTAGSTGCACCAAATTTGACGTCATTAAATTATGTTTTCATGTTTACAATAATGTTACTATATTATCATGACGTCGTCTTTTAACTTACCCACAAGATGAGTCAACCCAACAAATCGCCAATAAGCTCCGCCCACACTACATACTACGTAGACCCCCATTTGTCCTCAGGAGGGAACTGAAAACAATGTTTCATTTTGGGCCTTTTTTTTTAGGAAGGAAAACCAAACGAGGAAGAGAAGAAAGAATCCAGTATTTGTGAGCCAATGACTGATGGAGCTGGACTCAACACCAGGTCAGTTAAACACTGACAGAAAAGTTTGATTTTGTTGAAAAAAGACAGAATTTGTTTCTGAAAGTTCAGACATTACAGCTCGAAACTTTACTGTTTGTATTAGAAGATAAAACTTAGAAAAAGAACATTTTTTTGTCTCCATCCTAACGGTAACAGTCTGAACATTCAATCCAGCAGCTCGTCGTTGCAGCAGAACGTGGACCCAGAGGAGGAAGAAACGGAGAACGTGGAGTCCAGCGACGACAGAGAGGAGGTGATAGACAAAGGAGACTTCTGGAAGCCAGATCCCGACCTGCTGACCAACAAACCGAAGCGTAAAAGACGATCTAAAACAGACGTGAAGAAGACGGAGGAGAGCAAAATGTTCTGTAAAGTGTGCGGAGTCTGGTACCGGTTCCAGGGGAGCCTGATCAAACACGCCTGGGGTCACCTGGACGAGCAGCAGGATGTTTGTGGRGTCTGCGGAGGCAAGTTTGAGTCTGCGGAGGAGTTAAAGGAGCACCTCAAGAGCTACCAAAACGTCCACACCTGCTCAGACTGCGGGAAGACGTTTGTCTCCGTCCTGAGCCTGAAGTGTCACACTGCCAAGCACACGGGGAACAGTCTGTTCAAATGTGACGTTTGCAACAAGTCCTTCACCAACCAGGCTTCTCTCAATACTCACTGCTGGTCTCACGTTGAAGAGAAACCACACAAATGTGACATCTGTCTGAAGGCGTTTGGTCTGATGGCCCAGCTCGCCGTTCACAGAAGGACGCACAGCAGTCAAGATAAATACCAGTGTGACCTCTGCAAGAAGTCKTTCAGCCTGCGCCGCACTCTGACCCAACACCGGCTGATCCATTCAGAGGAACGCCACTACGCCTGCGCCATCTGCGAGAAGCGCTTCAAACTCGAAGGGTCGTTAAAGGCGCACATGAAGATCCACACGGACAGGGACCGGGCCTTCCTCTGCCACATCTGCTGCAAAACCTTCCTCTCCAAATCCTCGCTGATGGCTCACATCAAGATCCACAGCAGCGAGAGGCCCTACGTCTGCAGCACCTGCGGCAAGAGCTTCGCCGTGACCTACGACCTGAAGAAACACATGAGGATTCACACCGGAGAGACACCGTARGAATGCTCCGAGTGCGGGCGCAGCTTCAGGCAGAAGACCAACCTGGACAGCCACGTGAAGATCCACCTGGGCATCAAACAGTTCATCTGCGGGGTCTGTGGGAAGGCCTGCTCTCGACGGGAACACCTGAAGATCCACATGAGGACCCACAACGGAGAGAGACCCTACAAGTGTTTCATCTGTGAGAAGACCTTCACCCAGAGCCACTGTCTCAAAACACACATGAAGAGCCACAACATTGATGAAAGCCTGTTCCCTGATAACCAGACCAGTTCAGACCCTGTCCCTGATAACCAGACCAGTTCAGACCCTGTCCCTGATAACCTGACCAATTCAGACCCTGTCCCTGATAATCTGACCGGTTCAGACCCT